TGGTAATGATTAAAATTGAACTTAACCTAAGTATAGTAATAATTATTCTAAACCTTAACAAAACTCCAATTGAAAGCAAGCCAAATATGATTAAATATAGTATATTCTTCCAGCAAATTGATTCTTAGTTTCCCTGTAAATGATAAATACTTGTCATAAGTATAAGAATTATTGATCGTAATTACAATTTCATCTTGAACAAAGAATTAATCAAATCAAAATAACTCAAGATACATTCATATTGAATGATTTTCCACACTTGATGGAAAGCTAAGAAAACTTCAAATAAGTGAACCATTTCTTCATTCTCAGAGCAAAAATAGGTAGGTATTCTTAATGTAAGGATAGGAAGCATTATTTGAAGACTATGATAAGTCGAGCTCAAAAAAGTTTGTATTTGTCTGAATTTCATCTACATTTTATTTAGCTCTAGGGATATTCAGCTCAATATAGAAGTGTTTCTTCTTCTATTTCTTCTGCATCGTAATTAGAAGATGCTCGTGCTATCCACCCTGAAACATATATGAGTTTTGTTTTTGTATCTCCAATGATGACGAAGATATTGGACTTCCCTCACAGTAACGGGCAACCCTATATATACCTACGTATGTAAAGATAAATATTAATATATGTATACATACCGATGATTTTTCTTTCATTTTTCTCCATTTTTCTCCATTTTTCAAGGAACATCATTCGTTTTCCTATACTAGGAATTAATTCTTTAATCAAATCTTCGGATAGCATTGACGAGATTGACATATTGTTTTCCGTTATTTCATGTTCTAGAAAAAGCAACGAACTTGTATCGAAAATCGTAATATGTATTTGATTGACATTTTTGCAGTAGAAAATATAGTCGCAAGGCATGAAAAAATGTTGATGGATCTTATAAGTTACCTTTCCTGTCAATCTGCATATTGATATTGTAATTTTTGCATGATAATTGAGTATTATAAATCGAGTGACCGTACTATGAATATTATAATTATAACCAGGTATGACAAAACTAACAATATTATCTAGTAACTTGCTGATGAGCAAATTTGATTTTCCTAAAAGTCTGGATATATACCTGGCCAATCATTATGAATAATTTAATCTGTTACCTATCTTGTTTCCTATATCTATTATTCAACTATAAGAATAATATAAGAAACATTTTCAGTTTTTCAATTTGCGAACTAACACATGCCACAGAATTTGGTGCAACGCTTATACCTAGGTATAATGATGACCAGGCACCATCAGCTCACTGGTCGCCATGTTTTTTTTTTCATAACCAACTTTCAAGTTAATAATTGATTCTTACCGTTGAATACTGAAACGAATTCTTCCAGTTTCCATTCTCGTAAGAGCTCCTTCATATTTTTCAACACTTCCATTGCCATAAACGACAAAATCACCGGCAAAACTAAATAGGTGTTTGTTGTTCAGTTTTCCTTTCTGCCGCTTATTGCCTCACAAAAACTCAACTATCCCGACTTCCCGAGTCTCGTCCTCGACCGACGCAAGACGCGACCTGCAATACCCCCTTACGAATTTTTCATGGTCTGCCTTGAAGTTTAGCGAGTCTGTGATCCAAGTATATGACATTCAGATCAAGAGTAGCGTATTCTTGGGTGAAATTGTGACTAATATTCATATGAGATTTATTTGATTCTAACCATAACAATAGCTATTCTTGATAGAATGAACGGAACTTCTCGATGAAGAGTATGTTCCTTACAATTAAGAATGCATATCTTGGTTCGAAGAATGCATTTATTTTAAATCAATGTTGACATAAAAGCAAATTAACGATAGAATCTATTGACGCAAGTATTGCATTTTATTAGAAAAAAACTAATTAATTTTGAAATGTACTTTATATCTGTTCTTGTTTTCAGACAAGTTATTTTGTTGGATTGAGAATAAAAAATGTCCAAGAAAATGTATCCTAATCTTGATGATCAAGAGTATCTTTCTTTTTATAATGAGAGTAGTATATTCTTCTCTCAATAGAGATATTTTCAATTCGAATGTAAAAACACTTATTTTGAGAATGTTTTTTCAAGACTAACTTTATACTCAAATGTAAACTAGCATTTTTTTCTGTGATAGAGTAATCATAATGTTTTCATAATGCTCAACAAAAACAGGTACCTCGAATACAGTAATAATCAGCTTATCATTTCAATAGCAGCTAAACCTTCCAAAATATTTTGAATTATGGTTCATTGGTATGTTGTATATTGAATACTTTAATAGGTAGAAGTTCATTGTGTTAGGATGCTATGGCTCTTTGTGAGCAAAATTATATGGATCAGCATGCATTTTGAAGAATAACAAAGTAGGTAGATATACTTCTATAATTATTATTGTGGAAATTTGTGAAAATATCATTGAACTCATATTGAACTGTTTTGGTAATATGATCAATCTCCTGAGAAAAATGATTAGAAACCTACAAGAATTCCATAAGTCTTTCGAGGTAGCCAAAGTCATCATCTGACGTTGCGATGACATGAAAACGACGGGAAAATATATCAAGTTCATCATCTGATGTTGTGATGACATGAAAACTACGGAAAAACATTCCAAGGTCATCATCTGACGTTGTAATGACATGAAAATTTACAGGAAAACATTCTTAACTCCTGGCTTAGATTGAAAGTCAGACATGTTTTCCCGTAGTTTTTATGTCATCGCAACGTCAGATGATGACCTTGACAACCGCGAATTGTATCATATCTCTGAGTATTCACACTAGTGTATATAATCAAGTGTCATATCGAATATCTTGCAAACCGAGCAGAATATCGAAAGTTATCAGGAAGGTCACGATTTCCTTATTGAACAGATAGAATAATTGAGAAATGTATTGGAATCTGGTGTGTGTGGCGTAAGTAATGAAATAAAGTTTTATCGATTTTGTGACCTTTTCAAAGGGACCGGCAAGCGCGGCGGGTCCCTTTTGATCAAGCTGTCTGAAGTGACTTTGCAAAGACTATATACCACCCTATAGGTATGTCGATTAGAATGTCATGACAAGCTACCAAAGTATACTAATCACCTCAATGTAACCTACGAAATCTCAGAGTTAGGCCTCCAAGCTCAATAATTGTCCACGGCCACCCTGGTCTCTAGATATGTGTAACGGTGGAACGGACGAATTTGGATGCAAACTCCTATATGGAGATGCATCATCTTACGAGTACTTACGTCAAGTTGTCGAAGCTCGACTTGAGTACACTTTATTACTCCAAAGGAGTAAAGTAGGATCGGAACAGCAAGCATTTTAGTAGCACCGACTTTATTCCTTCCCGAAAGTTCTGACGACCAGATATTATTATCATTATTTTCATTATCATTATTATTATTGTTACCGCTGCAATAAGAGCGATTACACCGTCCAACTGCGACATGTTTCCTGAAGACGAGTGTATACCTGTTTCAAATGCACACAGAGAAATTGATGGGTTAAATCAACCTAAAAAAGCATATAAAAATGGGCCTATCTGGTTTAATAATTATATCAACCAGCGAACTATAAAGTTGAATATGTTTAGTCACGATATACGAATAGAATTGTTGTTGTGATCAAGAGAATTTGTTATGAACCAGATTATAGTCTCACAACACACTGAATTAATACAGATTTCGAAAGGACATCAAATCTAGCTAACTTGAGTTTTTGGGATTTTCTCTTCTCGTTTCTATATCTTATTATTTCAATATATTCGTAGTGGTACAAATCATATGATTTGCCCCAAAATGTTTTGCGTTTAGCAAATTTTTCTATCAGAGAGCCTAAAAGAAAAATCCAGTAGCTTGTCACTGACACTTCGTTTGAAAAAATGTTTGAAGGAAAGAAATATCGAATTTGGACGTTTCGGGAACGAATCTGCTCCCGTTCTCAACGTGTAAATGCAAAATATTTTTCTTTGGAAGTTGTGCTCTGCTTTTTTTGGGATTTTCTCTCCTGTTCGTTTGTCTACCAAATATAACAGTGAGCGAGCTATTATGATATTTCAGTTACAGTTATAATGTTGTTGAAATACTATTCCTTAGTTCGATTTGACTAATTTCTACAAATTAGTGGTTGTACCACAAGAATATTGTCTGAACCAACAAATATTTTTGGTACAATTTTTCCTCAATTGTTCTGACGATCACCTAATCATTGAATGTACCATCATCGTAGTTTTATTCAACAATTATAATGATTTTGTTGATTACACATTTTTTTGTCAATAGGCGAGAACACAAGAGCACGAATTCAGTTCAAATGTGCATAAGAAATAAATATAACATTGAAATAATGTGAACCAGTAGTTTTTTCAACAATAAATGCTGTCATTATCAAAAAAACGCGTTTCCAAAACCATAGAAATTTGTGGACCATTCAAAAAACCAATAATGGCGGATACGTGATGACGTAACAAGTATTGACGTGCATTTGGCAACGCTGTACTGTTCCTTCAAAATATTCGAACCGATTTCCTAACCTAAAAAACCGAACATCAAAACATCCGAGTTTTTCTGCGATTTTTTATCTGCTTAGTAGAGTTGAATATTTTCTTGGGTAATCAAAATTTTCAAATCATTGTGACTATTATTGTGACGGTTCATGTTAATTGATTGAAGATATGAAGCCAGTATTCGAAAAAACAATCACAATCTTCCAGTAGTTGATTCAACTATAGTTTTTGAATTCTGCAAGTAAAAAGAACTGGCATGAGCCGTATCATAAAGGTGAAGATTAGTCCAGAACATAACGCGCCATATTCCAGCTTGTTTGAACGGGATCAATACTTTGCGAATTTTTTGTGGAAAAACTACTTCAAATTAAAATCTGAAAAAAATACCTTAGACTTTTATCGTCATACTGAAGGTAATGGTATTTTTTCCAGGAATTAGTGTTCTCGCATATTCAACTCAAACTATTTTTTTGAGTGTGACGTCCATGACTCACTCTTCACAAAATCTCCGGAAAACCCGCCACTGTCGAAGGACACCGCGCTTCCTTCCCGGCCTCGGGGACGCAATGGCGATGGCGACTGGGAGCCGATCGCAAGCTGCACTTTGAGTGATTGTAAGGGCTGAACGGCGATAGGGATGAGAAGAGCCGCGGAGCCGGTGCCCCGCTGTTAGGGGTGCAATTGCGCGGACGGTCAGGTAGAGCTTGAGCCTCGGGAGGGTTGTCGAGGCAAGTTGGGACCTTGTCGAGGCGACTGGTACGCTGCTCTCTTGGTCTGAACATTGTTCTCGCGAAGTATCTTGGTGATGCGAGAGATTTTGCTTTGTGAAATATGGTGAAATTCAGAAAAGTGCTACTCAAATATTATCATTTTGATTTGTAGGAAGCAATGCTCATTTTATTATTTATTGGACCGCACGAAAGGAAATCTATCCCTAACAACACAGGAATGTCCTAGGTACGTCCCTTTTTTGTCCCGCACTACAAGGACATGATTGGGGCATCCAGGGGATGTCCCGCAGTGGTTGTCCAGTGGACATCCCGCCCGGTACATCCCTAGGTTATCCTATTCGTGTCTCTGGAATGTCTGATATCCATTCACATCAGAGTCATTGAATTTCATCAAAATATTGAGTTGAATTTTTTGTTTTTCTTCCGGAAAATAATTGTAATGAAAATAAAGAATATAGTCTCAGAACTTCTTAAGAAATTACCATTTTTCGCAAACAGAAATCGTAAATGCATAATGCCCCTCATTTTTAAACACCCAAGAATGATAATAATTATACATGAAATCCTAACAAAGTTGTATTTATTCAGGTTTCAGTTTTGTACTGTTTATAAATCTGTTTAGTACATAAATCTTCAGAAGGCATATTAGCAAATAGGGTAAGGTGCGTGCCTGATAACCTGAAAGGTCCCGGGTTCAATCTCTACTCGATTTACATTTTCTTTCTTTTGTCGAGGGGATATCCCTGGAATATCCTTGGGACGTCCTATGGATATCCTTTCTTCGTACTTGGTACATCCCAGGGACGTACCATTTCTTGCATGTCCTTTTTGTCTGAAAGTGGATGTCCCTGGGACGTCCCTAGTATGTACTTCGTCCCAAAAAGGATATCCCTGGGATGTTCTAGTATAAAATTAGGGACGTCCCTGGAAAGTCCCTAGGATTTACTTGTGTTGTTAGGGATCATCACAGCGGTAATATACCTAAATAAAAATCCAGAGTCGATCATCCCCACAGCTTTTACTTAGTGTATGATCATAGATCACTCATGAAGGTTCATGTTTCGGGCTTATATAATCCCATCAACCTCAGCCAATTACAATTCATAATTCGAGAAAAACCGACAATGACTGAGAATATATATTCAATGGTTACTCACATGAAGATGACAAAATATGAAATTCAAATAATGTAAACCAAAAAGGCAAAACCGAGTCATATTCTCCATGATCTGCCAATACTGGCAATTTATCCTGAAAATATCAAAACTAAAGAGATATGGAAAACCAAAGTTATTCAAATCAAGATTTGATCAATAATTTATTATTTCAAATCCCAATAACTCGAAAACAGTTGCTCGCATCGACCTCTACCAAGATTATATTTTTCACACAAATGTGTTCTAGAAATCTATTTTTCTACTATAAAACGTGATACAGGTACGAACAAAAAAGTTATGACTTTTCAAAAGTCATGTAGGAGGCGCCACCCCAACGAAAGAGACAAACTAACTTGAAACAATTATTTAAAAATTTATCAGCAAATCACAAAAATAAGAAATCAGCTTTCACTATCTGTAACTCAGAGACGAATAACTTTCGGGCATATATTTATACGAACTTTCCTTCTGATTTGGACGTCAGCAACATGCTCCTGAATTTTCTACACGTACTTAAGAAACACCCTGTACAGGCTGTCCCATTTTCGATGTCCTTACGGGATATCTCGCTTAATTTTGAAGATAGAAAGTTGCGGTTTTCGCGAACGTTGGCTACTATTTTGTGAAACTCACGAAACCGTGAACAAAATTTCCATAGCCCGCTTCGTTCCTGAGGTACAGGGCGAAATTGAAAATATTGCATTTTGAGACCCCCCTTGTATCTCAGCTATCTTTCAACTTAGAGGGAAAGTAAGAACTGTTTCTTTCACAATGTTTCACGTAGAATCCAGTGGCGTAGTCAGATTTTTCAAATGAGCTGTCGTTATTTAGATATAACCCATGCAAAGTTATGTTTTTTTAAATAGAACACCCTGTATGTTTTTCAATATTTGAAACAAGAAAGCTTTGCGCTTTTCAAAAATATATAACACTTATATGATATTTTGAGTACTAGTCCTGTATTTGGGTAATTAATCCCTGGATTCTACGTGAAAAATTGTGAAAGAAACAGTTCTTACTTTTCCTCTAAGTTGTAAGATAGTTGAGAAACAGGGGGGGTCCCAAAATGAAATATTTTCAATTTCGCCCTGTATCTCAGGAACGAAGCGGGCTATGGAAATTTTGTTCACGGTTTCGTGAGTTTCACAAAAAAGTAGTCAACGTTCGCGAAAACCGCAAATCTGTATCTTCAAAATTAAGCGAAATATCCCGTAAGGACATCGAAAATGGGACAGCCTGTACATACACTGAAATGTCGCCCCTGTTCCCCACTGCGAAATTTCAATAAAACAGTCTCACCCTCACCCTGTATGCCAATTTGACGACTACGCCAATGGTCCCGCGCCTCTGTGCTGTGGTGCTGAAGAGGCACGGCGTGATCGCTTCTCTTCTCTTTGGCAGTCACGCGAAATTTTCTGGGAATTAGTCAGCCAGGCAGATTTACGGACCCGGATGGACGGATGGTTAATGTCTCGATGGCGGGGCAAGGGGCGGGGGGCAGGGGGTGCCACATGGGCACGTCGGCACCACCGAGAGGGCTTTCTCGGAATTTCGAATGCGGTCAATAGCTGTTCGTGTAGGCCGTTTGCGACCGGCCTCGGGGCGAGATTAGAGGGGTTCATCGGAGAGTTTTCGAAGGTTGTTTGGTTGTTGTTTATTGAACGTTTTAGGACGTCGACTGACAGATAACCTCTGAAGTCTGAATACTCTGAATGGGTTCTGTATGGCTCGGTGTATACCTAGTTACTCGATACGGTTTACCTGAAGAAAACCTGCCAAGAGAGAGATACGTGCTACAAGACAAGACTGACTAACCTACTATTCTTTGGCTCTGTCTTATAAAATTCACCGTAAGCTGTCGTAACTCCTACATTTCATTCGATATCAGAATATAATGATAAAAAAATTGATTCAAACATAATACCTACCTTACCAATACATAATATCAGTGCTTATGTCAATTTGTTTCTCAAATAAACTGCCTCACATTTGAAGTGAGACAATCAGAAGTTTCTGTCATTTTAGAATCGTCATTACTTTGGATTGGATCAACCAATTTTCAATTTCTTTCAATACTTCAATAGCTCATTTTATTGAGTGAAAATCATTATTATTTCGTCATTCCACCTTTTCGAAATGACCACCTACAGAGTCAGTGCTGGTTTTAGCACTACCAGCGCCTTGGGCAAGAATTCTACGGCGCCCACTTACTGCAATTCAATTTCACAGGAGGCATGGGTATAATGAAATATCAATTAATTTTAAAAAATAACCATTCATCTGAAAAAACTAATAGATTTTCCTTGTCTAGCCTTTGTATTGGCAAACTCTTTTATTATGTTAACAAAGTTAATATTTTCAGCAATTTCATTTGCGATTGACAAAGTTGCCAAGTTGGTAAATCTAGATTGAGATATTGTCGATCACAGATAGGTTTTTATCAGCTTAGGCTCAGAAAAACTCATCTCCCCACTCCCCATGATTCAGAACATATGCAGGGGTAACCAAATTCTGATTAGGTGAGTTCATCACATAACATATACCTTGTCAAAGGTCGGGTTTTTTCGAAATCTGTTTTATATTGTGCAAAAATACCAAGATTCGTAGTACTTATTTAACTTCAAATCTTTCATTTACTGAAATTAATGAAAAATTAAGGCACATTTTTTTCTGTATAGAAGCTATAGGCACGTGGCGGGCATATTCACCAGCTTGACGCCCAATGAATTGAATTATCAATGTGCTGAGGTCCAGGCTCAATTTAATTTATAGTTCTTTAGCCAATTCCTCTGCAGTTAAAATGGCGATTTTAGAGTTTGTATTTCTATATTCTTATAGGAGAAAGTGCAGCATTCTTTCAACATTTCTGTGCATTTACTGAGATAATCATCAGTTGATTGTAGAGAGATGCGCTAATGACATTAATTTGAAAAATTTGGAGAATTTATAGGAGTGTCTGCGGCGCCCCTTTTCATCCGGCGCCCTGGGCGGTCGCTAAACCGCCCCCTTCCCTAACGGAGTGATATCTGAAAATGTGATAGATTTCGAAAAGTTTTCACAGGAATTTTTTCAAATGTTTCATCATGGACGATAAGATGAAGAATAATGACGAACATTGAATTATATCTATTGAACACACACGATAAGAGTTTGAAAATAAAATATAAAAACTTCTGAAATTGAGAATTTGCATTTTCCTTCAGACAAAAATATGTATATGCACACATCATTCTGAATATTCAACAGGAAACAACTACTTTCCTGGCTATTTGCCACGTCGAACATTGAATTATATCTGATGAACATTCAAAAGGTTAACATGCATGAAAAATAAAAATAAAATCCTCCGAAATTGAGAATTGACATTCTTCTTCAAATCGGATGAATAATATGATGTATAATGATATAGAAATATAACTTACCAATATATTCAGCATTGAAATGAAAATTGGAATGTATAGGAGAAGTATAGTGGCATAAACTCTGATCTTGATGAGCTTGAAAACTCTCAAAAATAATCATTCATATCAGTGATATGGGAAATATTATCTCTCACACACAGGTTATATGACTTTATTGCAGTGAAACCATTTCGGATTTCTGAATACTCATCAGTAACCATGATGTCCACTAATTCTTACAGCCATTCTTCATGATATACACAATATTCATCTCTCTATAATACAACTAAAACCGAGTTAAACTATAACAAAATGACATCTGACAAAATTTGTTGACATTCTATTCCTGTCATTTGGACGTTTTTGCTTTTGGGTGTATGATAAATTGACATTCATCATACAGGGCGTGGAAAGAAATTCTGAATTGAGACTCTATCACGAATCTGCGATTAGAGGTCTAAAAATCACAAGTTTCCATCGTTCACTCGATTGG